TTAGTTCCATTCTCACAACATTTCTGCATTTTACTGTACGTATATTAAAAACAATTTTTTTTAATTTATATACAGTATATATATATTAAATTAATTAGTACGTACGAACGTAATAACGATTGACCTACTTATCCAGCTTTAAACCTAAATTTGGTAGTACGTTCTTTGTTCTAAACTTCTTTTCAAAACATTTCTAATTATAACCAATTTTAGTTCATGATTACTAATTAAAAATTAAAAAAGCCAAGAATTCAAGTTCCCGAAACTTGAACGTGACCTTTATATATATCCAAACACAGCTTCGAACCTGTTCTAAACACGTTACATAATTTACATTTAAAAAATATATATCGTTTAACCTATTATTTATAGAAAAATTTATTATTTTTATATCATATCTATATATGCGTGCATACATATGTACGTGAACAAGCATCTTCACTATAATTGAATAATAAATTTTTTGATAAGATGGTCTATAATTTAAATTTACAAAATAGCATGAAATATATGTACTGTATGTCGAAAGAAAAATAGAAGTAAAATACTTTATCATTACTTGTTAAAACACAAAAAAATTACACCTCTTTAAAAGACAAAATGTACATTTAGAATGTAAATTTACAAAAAAAAAAATTTTTTTTTATAAATTAGAAAAGATTCACTGTATATAAATGTAAAAACATGAAAAAGAAGCTTGCAAAAGTATATCTAAAAAAAAGTATTATAATTACATCTAATAATGGTAATAAAATGTATATATAATATTTTACAAATATTTAAACCTGTATTAGGGAAACTGACCATTATAATTAAAAATCTTTCATAAATGATTCTGTTGATCCATTGAAAATTGAAGAGCTGTAAGATGATCTTCGATCATTATATTGTGACGCAGTTTCACTATTTTGTTAAATTTTCGTGGATTGAGAAAAGAAAAGAATTAATACAAATTAGATATTATAAAAAAAAAAAATTAGATCATTACAAATTTTTTAATAAATCTTACCCAGAATCTTTATAATAATACAAAAAATAATAAAAAAATAAGTAAAAGAAAGATTCATGATCAAATAAACATAATAAATCATATATATGATTATGATCAACATACCTTTCTGTGCAGCGCTTTTACATGTACTTGAACAAAATTTTGAATATCCTTTAGGGAACTTCTTTTTACAATGTTTCTTTAAACATTGCTGACACATAGGTATTTGTTTTGGAATTTTTGATTGTGAAGACGTGATTTTATCTGTCTTATCTGGTAATATTAATGATTTTCTATTTGAGAGGCTGAAAGCAAAACTTTTTGGTCGTTGACCTTGTCCATTTGTTGGCAAGCTAGGTAGTGGTTTTGATGGATTATACATGCTAGCTCTTCTAATATTTTTTTCTGAATATCCATTTGTGAAAGTACGGTTACTAGCTACAGATATTTGAGAAGGTGATGCGGGTAACGAGACAGTTGACGACATTTCTTGATTATTTATGGATGAATATTTATTGTATGATGATGATGATGATGAATGAGGATCATCAATATGATGCAAAGATGCGTTATATGAAATTGATGAGGTCGATATACGCGGTGATTTGTAAACTTTGGGATCTTCAGAAGATTCATTCACATATTCTGAAGTTCCATTTGGTGTATTTGCAAGTGGCTGTGGTGTAATTAATTGCTGTGGTAGGTTTCTTTGTGTAGCCACGGACGGGGAATAATAGTTTTGTAAATGTGACTGCTGTGATTGTGTGAGCGGTGCGGAAACAGGGTAAGTTGAACTTCGAGCGGATGGAATGTGAGGGTTAATATTTTCAGCAGTAGGTGAATAATTTTCACGAACTTCAATATCCAATTCGTGTTTTATTCTTGAAAGTTCTGACATAAGAGCTTCATTTAAAGATTTAAATCCATCCCGTTGTTGCATTAGATCATTCGATCCCTTTCGTGATCGTTCAAGTTCTACAATGAGATTATCTAATAAATCACGAAGACGACCCACTTCCGCTTGTAATGCCACATTTTCTGTAGATAATTCATCTCTTTTCTGACGAACAGTATCAAATTCTTCATTGGTCTGTTGTGAAGTATTTGCTTCAGTTACTGACATTTCTTTATTATGTGATACGGCTTCCAATTGTTGTTTTAACACTGTAATTTCTGATATTATCGATTCGTTTTGAAGTTTAAACTCATCACGTTGATGAACAATATTATTAGAATCTACTTTCATGCGTTCAAGTTCGGTTTGTAACCGTTCATTCTCAGTCTGCAAACGTTTTTGTTCAGATGCAATGTCATGATTTTGACGCTGTAATTCTTTATGTTGTTCATTTAGCGTACGACATTGTTCTTTCATTTGATTTAATTCTTTTGTTAGGTCACTGATTAAAGAATTATCTTTATCCTTTTGTTGATTTATCACTTGATTTAATTCATCTTGAACTCGTCCTAGTTGAGATGTTAGAGTATCATTTTTATTTAATATTTCATCACGATGTTGAGTAATGCTATCCAATTTAATTTGTAATTGTTCCAATTGAGAAGATAAGGTATTATTATTGTTTGTTAAATCATCCTTTTGCTGACGCGTTACATTCAATTCAGTTTCCAACAGTGATAATTGTGATGAAAGGCCAGAAATTTGGTTGAAATAGTTATCACGTTCTTTTGTAACATTTTGAATTAAACCAGATAATTCATCACATTGATCTTGTAATTTCTTGTATTCTTCTTTATGAATTTCTAATTCTGCTTCCCCTTCGACAATCTGATTCAAAGTAGTATTTTCATCATGTTGTTTTAGGTAAAATGATAATTCATTTTGTAATTTACTAATATCAGTAGCAAGTTCGTCACCATTTTCACGTAAACGATCGACTTCTTCATGTAAATTCTTATTTTCTAACATGATCTCATTATTTTGAATTTTAATTTCATCCAATTCAAGTATTAACTTTTCATTATTAGACAACTTTTCTTGC